AAACACCTAAGTTTTTTAAGTCAGAAAATAATCGCAAATGCAAACAAAACATAAGGGCAAAGCTGTCATTTTCCATTTAGGCATTACATCGAACACCCATGTCTACACTATTTTAATTTGACCTCAACCAACTTTAAAATCTCATCCTACCCTAGTATAAGAACTCACATGTGGGGCCCCATATGTGCATTCAAGCATTCACATGGATCCCAAACACACCAAATAATATCCACTTATTTCGATAACACATAAGCAACAAAGCAACTGGAAAATGCAAAGTAGACAAGAAAGGAAAAAAAGGCCATTTTGCTCCTCGGTGGTCAAAGTACCGGTAAAGTCAATGAATAACTATATTTCTATGAATCTCACTGCAACATCCTTCGAATTTCATTAAAAAATATCACAAAGAAAAATCTTTATTGCCTCATTTTTTTTCGGTAAATTATTTATCAAGTAAATGCAATTACTTGGATAAGTTTTTCTTGGGAAACACTTGCCCAAATAAGTGCATTTACCCATGTTCTTTTATTTCTCATGTAAATAAGGTAATGACCATTTTAGTCATAAAAATCTATTATTAAAAGGGATATTTTTGTCTCATTTAAGTATTAGCAACTTTCTTCCTAGGTGGAAAAATTATTTACCCACCTAGGAGATGGGTATGGGTAAGTGATACCCAAAAAAATAAACTTTCACTGGTCCCACATAAATATGAAAAATGAACATGGGATTCTTGGTCAATGGGAACCAAAATCCCATTGACCAACTTTCCCCCTCTCAAAATCCAAAAAAAAGAAGGCCCCCTTAGAGTAACACTTGTCGTCATTTCTACAATTAGGTTATGCTTGGTTTGAAGGAAAATGTAGGAAAACCTATACAAGGTTTATAAAGATTTTCCTACCTTTCTTTCCTTTCCCTACTTTTTCCTTCAAACAAAACATAACTTAAGGGTTTGAAAACCCTCCTCAGTTAAGCCAAAAAAAAACAGCACCTATTTTGAAAACCCTCCTCAGTTAATAGCAAAATCTCATCAGAATTTGCAGCAGTCGTTGTTAGGCTCAATTTGGAAGGAATACAAATATAAATATGTACAGTATAAATATATACAAATAATATAAAATACATGGTTTTACACTTTACATATTTGTATTTGTACTCCTTCCAAACTGAACCTTAATTTTTCTCCACAGCGGTGATAAATTTATATGTTGAGAGACTGAATAAGAAAATGGATGTTTAAACCCCATTCTAGTGACTTAAAGCAATAACGGCAAAACAGTCATTCCACGTTCCATATACTTTTTTTTTATTTATTATCTCTTCACTCAGTAGAAGGTCAAAATTGTCATTCTTAGAAAACTTAGGGGTATTTTATGTAATTTACCCTTTTTTAAATTTATTCTAGTTTGGATAATAATTGTTATTATCTCTGGTTAACTCCAATTATTACTCATTCAATAAAATTTCAAATTCAAATTCAACATTGTTTTCTCATCAGCCCACCATTAAATTCTTTAAATATGAGTAAAATCAATTATTAAAATGTAAATATTAATAAACACTGACAATAATTATATTGATTTCATAACAATAAGCATACAGGTGCATATTTCAATTTTATCATTTTTCAGCATTTCCCATGTTCTAATAGTTCACATATTTATTAAAATATATCGTATGTTTTATTTACATATAACATATTTATGATCATGGTAAATTTAGTTTAATGTTAATAATGTAATTTTTAGAATTACTAGTAAGTATGCATATGCTTTGCATATGGCAATTTTAGACTGATGATGATGATGATAGTAATAATATATTTTCATTTTTTTAACAACTTTTTAATACTTCTATGTATAAAAATAATTTTTATTTATCACACTTATTTTTTTTAATATGACGAATATATGGTAGTAGAGATGTATCCAAATGATTTCTACAAAATTTGTTCATTTTTGTAAATTTTTTGTTTTATCTTTTTTTTTATTTTTATTATTTAATTACCACTCCAAGAGTTCGTATATTTGACCTAAAAGGTTGAACTATTGACCTACCACCAAACATGAGAACAACTTTACTTCTGTGTTAGTTTTGAATTTTGTATTTCATTACCATCATTAATAAAACAAATCTTTTTTATCACATGTTTGATTAATAAAATATTATCATTAGTAAAATATTAGAGTTGTGACCAAATGTCTTCTAAATAACTTTTGCTTTTTTGTAATTTTTTTCTTTTATATTTTTATTATTTAATATGATATTAAGGGCTAATACATTTAACCCAAAAAGTTAAACTGCTGACCATCTACCAAATAGGAAAACAACTTAATTTTTGGTCAACTTTATATTTTGCATTTCATTTTCAGCATTAGTAAAAAGAATTATTGTTTATCACATTGATTTTTATTTAGTATTAATATAAAATATTAGTGATTTGTACTTTTCATTTTTTTGTATTTATCTTTTCTAAATTTTTTTATTTAATTTTGGCATCAAGGGTTAATACATTTGACCCAAATTGTTGAACTTTTGATCCACCACACAATAGAAAAACAATTTCATTTTTGAGTTGCTTTTAAATTTTGTATTTCATTTTCAACATTAATAAAAATAATTATTGTTTACAGTACATATTTATCTTTTAATTTGATTAATATAAAACATTAGAGATGTACCTAATAGAATTTATTTAATTAATCATGGGTTAACTCCATTGAATGGATGATTGAATTACTTACCGACCATCAAATTGGAGGAATGATGTCATTTTTGGGATGGTTTTTAACATTGCTTTTATATTGCTAAAAGTATTAAATATATATCCAATTAATAAATTTTATTTATTAATAAAAAATTAAAATAATTTATTTAAAGAAACAGATATAAAATTTATTAATAAAAATAACTTAAATATAGGATTTAATGAGAAATAATGAGAATTAATACTTTCAATATAAGACTTAATGCAAGTGAATTGCATGGGGTAAAAAGAATGAATTCAAATTACATTTTCTACCCTCATAATTAGATATTGGCCAAATCAAAAGATGAGGGTATTTTAGTTTAGAACAGGATTCAATGAAAGATTATGGAAGTTAATACCTTAAATATGAAACTTAATGAGAAGGAATTAAGGCCATGTTTGGGAGTGCTTAAAAATAAGTGCTTATTTGAGCCATTAAACTTATTGGTATTTGGGAAATAAACCAGAAATAAGTGCTTATTTAAAAAATAAGGGCTTATTTTTTAAGCCCAAATTTCCAACTTTTTTACTTATTCATTTTTTTCTTCCAAAATTATCCCTAGTTGAATTTTAAAATACCACTTATAAAATTATCCCCAGTTGAGCTTTATAAATTTACTTTTATGAAAGCAATTTTAAGAAAGCACTTTTATAAAAAATACTTTTATGAAAACACTTATACAAAAGCACTTATATAGAAGTACTTTTACAAAAGCACTTTTAAAAAAGTACTTTTATGAAAGTACTTTTCTAAAAGCACTTTTATGAAAGTACTTTTACAAAAGCACTTTTATGAAATAACTTTTACGAAAGTGCTTTCATAAGGGTACTTTCTTAAAAGTGCTTTCATAGAAGTGTTTTTTTTATAAAAGTAATTTAATAAAAATGCTTTCAAAGGATATATTTTGAAAATTTGAAAGAAAATTAAGGACAAAATAGTCACAAATGCTTATTAAATGCTTATTAGAGAAAAAGACTACCAAATGCCCAATACAAAATAAGTGTTTATTCTAAAAAAGGGAAAATTCTCGATGAATACCTTGTACTTTAGGTCTAGTGCCACTTTGGCCCCTGAACTTTAAAATGCAACAATCAATACTCGAACTTTCAAAATGTGACAATCCATTACCTGACATTAACTAGTTGTTAATCAGCCGTTAAGTGACATTTTAAAAAACACAAATGCTCTTTGAGTGTCAACTAATTTTCCTTATCAACTATCCAAACATTGACAAAAAAATTAAGTCTCAAATCCTTCTCTTCTATTCAATAAAGTTGGGGTCACTAGAATGCCCACTCAAACATAGCCCCAAATTTCTTGAATGGAAGAAGCAAATATTTGGGACTGTTAATTTTTTGTCAACGTGTAAATGGTTGATAGAAAATTAAATGACACTCCAAAGGCATTTGTGTCCTTTTCAAATGTCACTTAACATCAGGTTAACTACTGATTAATGGCATATACTGGATTATCACGTTTTGAAAGTCCAAGTACTAAATTGTCACATTTTAAAGTTTGAGGACCAAAGTGGCACTAGGAACCAAGGTTCTAAATATTAATACGCCCAATACACCGGTAGGGGCGTATTGGGTAGTATAAGTATTGTTTTTTTATTTTTTAACTTTTTTTTTCAAATCCGGTTAGGGGGACCGATTTAAGGTTCCTCCACCCCCTAAATCGATCAAACCCCCTATACACCCTCTGTAGGGGCACATCAGGGTGCTCCCGATACAATACATATCAACCAATACGGGCCGATACATAATGATATTTTGAACCTTGATAGACACAAAGTACAGGGTATTAATCCAGAATTTTCCTTTTAAAAATTCAACACTTGAAAAAGTTGGGTGCCAAATGCAAATAAGTGCTTAACTGAATAAGCACTCCCAAACATGGCCTAAATAAAGTGAAAACTAATAGTTCAAATTATATTTTATATTCTCACAATTTTAAAAGAACCCCAAATCAAAACATATTTTAGTTAAAGGATAAGATTCAATGAAAGATGATAAAGAGTTAATACTTTAAATATATGACTTAATGAAAATGAATTATAGGGTAAAAAGAATGAATTCAAATTACATTTTCTACCCTCATACAAAATTCAAACATAGGGGTATCTTATCAAACAAAAATTTCACTCTCATTTAAGACTTCTAATAGTGGTAAAGATTTAAGTATCCCTACTATTATAATTTTTCCATATTATAAATGTATATTAAAAATGTATCCCGGATTCTCAATGCATCCAGTAAACTTGCCTTTCCAATATGTTCCGAATCTGATACTTAGAATATTTGGACTTGTACAACCACAGCAATGCTTAAATAACAGAAAATGGAAAACCAAATTGGCCAAAATACATCGGGAAGGTCTTTATAGTCTCAGGAGTAACCTTTATTGATGATACTAGGAAGAAAATGGCACCTTACGCTCGTTCCTGAGACATGATAATTAAACTGTAGTTGACAATTTTATTTTTTACATCTTTAAATAAGAAAGCCATTCTACAAAAAATGGACAGCAAAACCAAATGCATATGCTGTCCTCAGCACCACCGTGAAGGGGTGGTAAAAGAAAAAAAAAAAAAAAGATGAAACCTAAAACAAAAAAGGGCTGACCTCACAAATTCCCCTTAAGGAAGATTTTTTTTTCTTCTGAGAAATAAGAACACTTGTAATTTATAGTACACCGCCACTTTATCCAGGGATGAAACGGAATAGAGAGGATAAATCAAAGAATAACCCCAGTGGAGCCCAAGACAGATGAATATTCTGGCTCCCAACTAGCAGGTTGGAAGAAAAATGGTTAGCAGTTGAAGAGGGCAACTCCGGTCAATAAACTTGGCTGCCCATCATTACAAGAATGCAGACAAACAGGGCACCCTCTCATGCATGTGATAAATCAATAGGCTCCAAGCTTTTGGCAAGTCCTACCAACCATCCCATATAGTACTGCACACCTTCCGCCTGTGTTCAACTGCTGTTGTCTCCAAACAGCTCTTCCATTGAGTGACTTGAAGGCAATAAGCTCCCTTTTTTGCTCTCAAAATTCTCTTAGACGCCTAACCATATGTACAAACTGGTTATCCAGTGTTCCCTGCAACCTCAGCAGCTCGCTGTCTCATCATCTCCATCACTGCGGCCCTCCTCCGTGAATCAGACTGCTGCTGCAGCCTTCTTAAATGCTCTCTCAAATCCCTGAACAGAAAATACATATGTTGAACATTTTAAACATGAAATTTTGTAACAGTAAAAAACAACTAAAATCTCTCAAAGAAGAGTTTGTCATATGCACCTGCAACGTGGCACATGGCATTCTGATTCTTTGCAGGCACGTGCATGCAGTTGGAGAAGATACCACATTTTCTTACAGAGAAGACAACCTCCAGAAGCACGAGTTTTGCATTGTATCCCATGGCGGAAGAGACCCTTAACCTTGCGGCAATTTGGGTACTGGCAGTGAGGGGAGCGACATTGAGAAGCATGTACCAGAAGATCAAGCATTTTCCTAAGCTGCAATAGAAAATCATTACAAAATGTCACATCACCATGAAGATGGAAAATCTCCACAAAAGAAGTAAAATTAAACAGAGGGGTCATCATTCAGAAGAGACAAGGAGTTGCAATTAAACCAAGAGACGGAAACTGGGCAAATTAACCTCATTATGACAAAGGTAGTAAGAGTATTTAAAGCAAACTAAGCATTAAACGAGAAAATTAGCATGGATACCAAGTAGGTGGCAGAATTTGAAAGAAGCTCCTCTAGCCACCCACATCTGAGTCTATCTGATTACTAAAAAACCAAATCCAAATTCAATTTGAAATCTAATTGGATCTATGATGTTTAGGATCGGATTCAGATCCTATGACATTCTGGAGTTAGCCCAAGTCCATTTCGTGAATTCTAAAATAAAGAAAACTAAAAAATTATAAAAAAGGTTGACCAATCTTTGATTAAATTATGGTTCTTAAATCATTTCTTATTACCACCCAAGTCCTTTTTGTCTGCCCCTAGCTCTACTCAGTACCTTCAACTTGCAATAGATAACTCTACCTAACAAAGTGTTGTATATGGTCTTCTATGCATGTGACCAAACCATCTCAATCTACTCTCTCATTTTATCACCTATTGGAGCAACTTCTAGGTTCCTTTGTATGACTTCATTTCTAACTCTGACCTTTATGGTTTTACCACTCATCCATCTAAGCATTCACATTTCTGCAACACTGTTTTTTGGACATACTGGTTCTTAAAATTTTCCTTTTAGCTTAAGTGGTATTTGCCTTATCACATGGGATTCCGGATGCACCTCTCCATTTAACCCATCCTTCTCTAATTCTATGGATGACATCGTCTTCAATCTTTCCTTTGTTATGAACAATGTTTTAAAATGCATGGGAGGTGCATGCCTGGGGGCATGTCTCCAAGCAAGGCATCCCCAAATTGCCTTGAGGCACATGCTAGAGGTGCAGGTGCCGATGCCTCTAAGATGTACTCAAATGCCATTTGCATGAGGCTATAGGTGCACACCTCATGTGCCTCACACATGCCTTGTACAAAAAAAGAAAGAAAAGAAATGGAAAGGGAAGGGAAAGGAATAGACCCCCCCCCCTTCAGCTAGCATTATGCATCTTCATTCTTCTTAATACAAGACATCTTCCATCAAAAAGAAACAAGAAAAGCAATATGAAATTCTTCTACCTCTTGTTCTTCTTCCTCCTCCCTCTTCCTCTTGAGAGAAGGCTTACAGCTCCTTGTGCTCCGGAGGATTTATGCCTCTTACATTCTGAGCTATGCCTCACACCTCCAGGTAGCAGAGTGCCTTGTATCACACCTCCGCATTTTAAAACATTGGTTATGAACTATTAAACCAAGGTAACAGAAGAAGCCACATTAAATTTCTTGGTCTCTAGTGTGTCTTCATTTGCACTCCTATTATTGTTAAATTTACATTCCATATATTTGGTTTTAGCCCTACTTATTTTTAAACCTCTTGTCTCTAATGCAGTGGTCCATAAACCTAATGTTGCATTCAATCCTTTGCTAGTTTCATCGATCAATACTATGCTATCAGCAAACATCAGGCACAATGGGACCTCCTCTCGAATATGTTTAATCAATTCATCTATGCCTAGCGTAAATAAATTAGGACCAAATGCTGAACCTTGGTGAAAACCCATGTAACTATAAAGCAACCGTCAAACTTGAGGAAGACTTAGTCGATTTGTAGACCTTAGAAACTGGTGCGGGTATGGTTTCTGGGGAGTACAGGAGTGGGTGATTACGAAGTTTGCAAGACCAGAAGTTTCGAGCATTTCTGAGCACCTGGAGATTGAAACAACTTCAGAGAAAACTGCCTCCAAAGCACTTCCACGGGTCTTTGAAGATGGTGAAGCACAAGTATGTGTTTTCGAGAAGGGCGCAAACATTCAGTCAGTGAAAGAAATAATCAAAGTTTCGAATGGGGCAAAGGATGGCAATGGAGGGGCAGAAAGAGTTGAAATGAGTGGAAATCAGGTTAAGGAAGGATCTTCAAAAAAGAATGTAAGTTTCTACTCATCAAACAGTAAGGTTCCCTCTTGTGATTTCAGTAGCAAAAATTTGGTCCAGGAATTGGGGGAAGTCACAAGTGACGAGACCAAAAAGAGGACGGGAGAAGAAGAAGATTCGAGTTCATTGATTTTCATTGGGAAGTTGGGGAAAGATCTGTGGAGGAGGAGAATTGAAGCTGTGTCGGAGTTGATTACTCATGAAAACCCCAAGGCAGGGGAGTTGAGAAAAAAGAAAGGATCCAGTAATGGGCAGCTTGTTCGTGTCACCAAGTTCCTTCATCGTCTCAAGGAAGGACTGGTTGGGGATAGTCCATGTGGCAGATTCAAGAGAAAATACAAAAGGAAAGGATGTAAGCTCATATCTAGAAACCAGATATGCCTGACAAACAAAGGTGATGAAAACAGTTTAGCTGAGGATTCAGACAAGAAGGCGCAGCGCATTGATTTAAGTTATCAAAGTGGGGAAACACTCACAGGGGTAAAAGAGGATAAGTATAGAGTAAAGGCTTCTGAGAGGAATTGGGAGGAAGAGATAGCAGTAAGATGGTTGGGGAGAAAAAATATTGAAAGGGGGGTGCGGAGGGGGAGTAGTGAGGGCGAGAAGGAAATAGGAAGGAATAATGCCGAAGATACTACTAAGGCAAATACAATGGAGAAAGGAAAAGTGGCGTTAACCAACTAGTTGATAGACAGATAGCAGTTGGGAAATCTCTTGGTCTTTTCTTTTTGGGGGGAGAAGCGGTAGTGAGGAAGGCAATCAAACAATTTGAATAGAATAGAAGGCAGGAAAGCAATAATAAGAATACAGTCAAGGAGGGGGAATGGGGATGGGAAATGGGAGGAAGGAGGAAGGAGTCAGACATTGTTGATGAAGAAAGTGTTCTGTTGGTTTGCTGCAGGTGAGGCTTGTGAATCTGTAGTTGTGCTGCATTTGATCCCCAGAATTAGTTTGTGTGCTAATGCAGATGTTTCAAAATTCTGGGTTTCAGTTTTGTTGTGTTTCTTTCGGGGTAGTTGGTTTTGAAAGTTTTTGAGGGTGTTGTAATGGGTTTTGGGTGAAAAATTTTTCTAAGGTAAGTGTTTGTGTGAATGTTGTTTCCTTGGCTGTGATTGGAGGTGTTTCCTCAACACCTCCCAAGGTTGTATTTTGCCTTTTCTTTTTATTGAATTCTTCTTTTTTACCTTCAAAAAAAACAAAAAAGAGGACAACCTAGAATTACATCAGACCACTGCCCTATTTGCATTGAGAAAGAAATCCTAGGGGGAGGCCCCTCTCCTTTTAGATTTGAGAATATGTGGTTTAAAGACCCCACATTCAATATCAGGTTGAAGGAATGGTGGAGGGAATTCAGACCTTTGGGGAGGCTGAAAATGATAGGTTTTGCCAGAAAACTAAAGAGGCTAATAGGAAAAACAAAAGAACGGAATAAAGCCCACTTTGGAAGGATAGAAGAAATATAAGATAACCTAATTGGGGGGGGAGAGGAGATTACAAGTATTTTCGTAAATCATTTTAAGGAAATATTCTCAAACTCAAATGGAGTATTGTCAAACCTGCTGCTAGAGTTGGGGGGTGGGTGGGGTATTGTCCTAGAGGAGCAATCTATCTCCCTCTATAAAGGAATTTTTCCCTAGAAGAAATCAAGGAAGTAATTTTCTCAATGGAGAGATCTAAAGCCCCTAGGCCGAATGGCTTCTCAATGGCCTTTTACCAATAGTGTTGGCTGAAAACAAACATGTTGGAAGTCTTCAATGAATTCTTTCTCAAAGGAGAGGTTTCTCCAAGGGTAAATGTCACTTTTATCACATTGATTCCAATGAAGAGGGAGGCAAGAACCCCTAAAGACTTCAGACCAATAAGTCTGCTTGGGAGTGTATATAAAATTCTGTCAAAGGTTTTACCAGAAAGGTTAAGAAGGTGTTACCATCTATTATTTCACCTTTCCAAGGTGTTTTTGTGGAAGGAAGGCAGATTATGGATCAAATCTTGGTGGCCAATGAATGTCTTGTAGAAAAAAAAAGGATGGAGAAAAGGGATTAATGTGACTGTGTACAGTAGATCTTGAAAAAGCTTATGACCTAGTTAATTGGGAAGTCCTCCTTCAAACACTAGAAGGACTGGGCTTTGGAGTCAAGTGGAGATCTTAGATTAAAGGGTGTTTAAGCTCAGTCCATTACTCAATTCTTATCAATGGTGTAGCAAAGGATTTTATTGAGCAAAAGAAGAAGAAGAAAGGAAGAAGAAGAAGAAGAAGAAGAAGAGAGAAGAGGCTGCAGACTTAAGGCCTCAAAAGAACTGCTTCATGCGAGTGAAGCATTTGTATTTATACTATACTGGCCGTACAACACAAGAGGCCTACAAAATTACAAAAATACCCCTGCAGGCACTAAACCTGCGTACAGTACATATAATACACCTGTCAACACTCCCCCTCAAGTTGGGGCATAGATATCAATCATGCCCAACTTGTCACAGAGACCTTGGTGTTTGGAATGGTTTAGCCCTTTTGTAAAGATGCCAGCTAGTTGGTCTTCAGAGCGGATGTATGGAGTGCATACTTCGCCTGTGATGATKTTCTCTCTGATAAAGTGCTTGTCAACTTCAATGTGCTTTGTTCTATCATGTAGTACCGGATTGGCAGCGATACTTATAGCTTCCTTGTTGTCACAGAGTAGAGTCATGGGTTTGTCAACTGGAAAACCCAACTCTCCCAATAGATTCTTTATCCACATACCTTCGGCTACTCCGTGT